GAGTGATTCTTAAAGAGGATGAACAAAGGAGCAAGGGAAGCCTGTCAGGAGCTGGCTACTCTCCAGGGCAGAGCAAGCCCTGTTGGGGGTAGTGGGGCAGTCCTTTCTGCCATGGAGGACACAGTGCAGTGGACCACAGATGCCAAGCACACACCACCACTGCGTGAAATTCAGCCATATTATTGTAACATGGAGAAAACAATCTGTGGATCTTGGCCCCGCTCAGGACTCTCCTCCTCTGACCCTGGTTTTGGGAGGGAATGCCTGATGAGGCAGTGCTCCTGTCCCCCACACTCATCAGCTCCTTGGGAGGAGCCATGTCAAACCAGACAGTTCAGGCAGCACCTGCAGGCCACTGAACTGGGAGAGGAGCAGGCCCCACCCCTGGCCTGCCTCAGCGTCTCCCACCCCTCCCAGGAGGGCTGGCCATGGCTGCCTCCTGCACCTGGCTGCAGTGTCAAAAGGCTGAAGGAGCCTCTGCACTCTGGTGAGCTCCACTGAAGGCCCCAGGAGGGATTTCCAAACAGAGGAGGTCAGTTCTCCTGGCCAGCCCTCCTCAGGGGTAAAGGACAACAGTGGGGAAGGCACACACCTGCAGCTTCAGCTTCTCCCTCCTTTCCGAGCATCCACAGTAGAGTGCAGGAGGATAAGAAGCCCTCTGCTGACTCTCCTCTCAGAGCCAGACTGGGAAATTTAAGTGAGCCAAGGTAGGAAAATAACACAGGAGATGGGGCCACAACAGGAGCCACTTCTAGTGTTGACCGCATTTCAAGCCTGACTCAGCATGGTAGTACATGGGAGGCCAGCTCCCCGTGGATGGGTGGCTCTGGCTCCTGGCTCAGCCTCCAGCTCTTTCACCTTCTGGCTTCCTGGGCGAGAGGTGGGTTGTAACTCTCAAATCCGGATGGGAAGAGGCGTAAGTGTCTGGGTGTTTCCCAGATGGGCAATTTCAGAGAGATCGTTGCTTTACTTTTCTGGTAAGTTTTCTTCTTCTCCTGTTGGGGATAAAAGGTTTGCAGGGAGAAATCTGAGACCATCTTTTAAGTCTCAACTTCAGTAGTTGCCTCAGTAAATAGTTTTCTGATGCCTAATGGAAAGTCTCCTCCGTCCTGGAAATAAGTAAAAATTCTGCAGTGCCCAGCTCATGCTGGATGGATGCACCTCACTCTTTACAGAAGCTCCAGAGACACTTGAAAAACTAGCTCAAATCACATATTTAGAAATAGGGATCAAGAAATGCCTCAATGCCTCCTCCTTTAGATTCAAGCTTGGGACTAGCCAGCATTTTCATGAAAACAGAGACCAAGCCTGAAAGTTCTTTGTGAAGTAAATGCGAATTCAACATGACTCAAAGAATAACATCACACTAACAGCAGAAGCAAACCATAGAAAATGAATCAAAAGTTTTACCCTAAATATATTTCTTTTTGACATGTTTGGTGCCCTGCACAGTTATCTTTTGAGAAAATTTACATTTTGCAGAGGGAGAGTCTCCTTCCCACTTCCCGACCTTTTTGTTATACTGAGAGGATGATCGCATCTTTTAAAGGTCCTTAACAGAAAATGTTTGCCGTATTTTCTCTGGGTAGCTTTTTGCCAGCTTCTTCAGGGGCCAAACCGCGGTGGTTCACGCCTGTAGCCCAGCACTTTGGGAGCTCGGGCAGGCAGAATCTGAAGGTGCAGTCCAGACCATCCTGGCTAACACATGGTGAAATCCTGTCTCACCAAAGCAAAATTAATTACGATTGTGGTGGCGGAGCACCCATAGTCCTAGCCTCAGCGGCTGAGGCAGAGAGGAAGCGGCATGAACACAGGAGCGGGGTTTTCAGTGAGCCGAGATCACACCTGCCACACTCCAGCCACCAAATAGGCGGAACTCAAATCTAAAACAAACAAAAACTGCTTCAGTAGTTTGAAATTGTTCTCAAAACCCATTATCTTAACTCGAACACTCTGTTATGAGTGATTTCAAATCTTTAGAATCTGCACTTCAAGTCTCAATCAATTGCCAACAGAAAATCTTTGAATCCACCTGTGAACAATCCCCTCCAATGCTAAACTTCCAGCAGTTTTTGTCTTCCATGGTTAAGAATCACTTGTATATCTCACAAGTATCTGATTGATATTATTAATTTATGCTACCATCAAACCACTTGGGCACATGTTCTCCAAGATCATCTGAGGCTGTGTCACAGGAGCACAGGCCACTCATGCAAACTCAGAATAAATCTCTCTAAATATTTTAGCGTTATTTTATAATAGCGTTATCTGACACCTCTCTGTAGTCTTTGTTCCATTCATCAGCATGGTATTCACCAAGTATTGGATTATTAAAATAACGCATGTTTGGCAATTTCTTAGGAAGTTATATGTGGACTAACTATGGATCAAATGGAAATGTTTCCAAAGTAAGCTTATGCAGTTATTTCAGGTTATGTTCCTGAATACTCTGTCAGATTCCGGATGGCAACTGATAGTATTTGTTTTATAATTTTTGCATTTTCCATAAATGATCACCTATCTTTGGAAGCACTATTGTAACATTGTGTGAAACTCCTCAGGAGCTACATTTGAAAGTGTGACTGCGGTGGCTGCACCAATTAGGTGCATTTCCTCTGCAGTCACCAGACACTCAGATTCCTCCAGTGACACCTTAATTTTGTTTCCCTCTTAGCTTTGGTCCTTAAATTGTGCTGTCAGGAGATGACTCATCTCCCCCATTAGAGCCACAGGACCTTGGTGTCAATGTGGTGGGAAAGGACTTCTGCTCAAAAACAGGCACATACTCTCTGTCACTTCAGAGTCATACTCGAGCAGACATGTGATCGGCTCGGGGTGTCTTAAGTATCATATGCCCTCTACAGATTCAATTAGGTCATTATCTTCCTCATTCCTAGGTGAGTGTCTCCTTGTTTTCCCCGAATTTGCACTATGTCTTATACCACTGCTGTCTTTAAACTCTATCTTTTTCTGCCCTTCCAAACAGGATGAGGCTGTTTTTCCCTGAGGATAAGAGAGGAGGTGGGACATGAGATCTGTCATTCACGAGAGAATGGACAGAGCTTTGGAGCTTTCTTTCTTCTAACACAGTTCTGAGTGTCCCAGTGCCAGGTGACACAGAGATGTTGGTGGCTTTGCTATGTTAATTCCACCAAATAATGTGGTGGTGGCAGGGAGGTATGTCTGGTTTCGGCCACAGCTCTGTTCCACTTGCAAGAGCAGAACCATCTCAGGAGGGGCATGCAGAATTTTACATGATGTGCCTCAATCCCAGGAGAAAAGTTTCAATAGCAGTAAAGATCCCTCAGTCAAATGCATCTGCTCCTCTGAAATCGTTTAACAGCAACTTCTTTATTCACTCAATTGCCAAACAATTGAGTATATATCTATTTAGAATCTTGCATTATGTAACCTCTGGTGCTGGACACTGCAGATAAGGTCATATTTCTCTTCTAATTTATCCTAAAGTGCTGGCTTTCTAAGTGTAAGTCTCCTTTTTGTCCTATAACATCAATATTTCGTGTATTGAAAAAATGCTGATTGCAGCTCAGTAAGGTTAGTTGTTGTAAAAATCATATAATTTTTGCCAAGTTCCTATCTCCCAGGCCAAATGCAGAAGCTATATTTTCATATAAACTGGAAATACTGTTCTTTATTATACTCAACTCTAAACAATCTGAAGAATATGTCTAAGTTAACCCTGCATTCACTTACATGACATTTGCTGGCCTCTGCCCCAGATGAGGTCATATTCTCTTCCTGTTTGTTCCTGCAGGTCACTGACTTTCACAAGATGTAAGGTCCCTTGTTTGTCCTATAACATCAATAATCTGATGTTTTAAAGAAAATGTGCTAATTTGCAGCTCAGTAAGGTTAGTTGTAAAAATAATACATTTTTTTTTCTCTTGGATGCCTGCATCTCCAGGCTGAGTAGAAGCTTTATTTGTAACACTCAGGAACTGGAAATAACAAAAATGTTAAGGAGCTTTGTAAATAGGAGGGGCACACTCATTAACTGGAATTCTGTTCTTCATTACAATGAACACATTCTTCATACACAACCAAATTACTGACTCTCAAGTAATTATGCTGAGCAAGAAGCCACACAAATGAAATAGAAACTGTAAGATTTCTCTTTAACCAAATCTTGAAAAATAGATCGGAAGTAACAAACATGAGAGATTGACTCAGTACGGTGAAAGAAAAATGACTGGGAGGCAGGAATTGGAGGAAGCCAGGGAAACTTTTAAGTGTAATTCATCGTTACCTTGATTGTTATTTGGGAAGCACAGGTGAGCACATGTGAAATTGCATTTTTTTCCTTTGGAGACATGATCTTGCTTTGTCATCCGAGCTGGATCTCAGTGGTGAGATCATAGCTCTCTGCAGCCTCAGACCCTGGGTCTCCACCAACCCTCCTCCCGCTACCGTACACAGCTGGGAATACTGGTATGTAAGACCATGCTCGACTTCAGAGCTTATTAAAATGCACACTTTAATTAAGCAATATTTATTACACAGCAATAATGCCTCAATACGAGTATTGCAAATAAGTGGATAATTTTTTCAATAAAGATTGATAGAAAGATAGACACTAACATGAGAAAATGCGTGACACCCAAGAAAATAAAACTGTAGGAAATGTGCTTATCTTTACAATTATTAGGTAATCACAACAGTGCATACACATCACACTGTGTTCTCATTACAGAGAAGAGGTTCTGCAAACCTCACTAGCTGCGACCCCTGTGTGCTGGGCTTGGTTCAGGGAGCAGTCAGGTCCAGTGGTGAGAAGCACAGGCCCAGATACTCAGGCTCTCTGACCAAATGTGAGCACTGGGGACATTGTACAACCCATCTGTGCTTTTGCTAGGAATTTCTCATCTGTAACATGGAAATTACATTGATACCACATACCATGTTTCCTCTGCATATGTAAAAATAAAAGATGATTGGTGCTAACTTAATATACACAGTTTATGTAGATCGATTGTATCTCAATACTACTGTTTTAAAATAGAAATTACAAAATTATAAGTTTTATAGGTTTCAATATTTTATCACAGAACAAACTTTCAATAAGAAACCACAGTTTCCAAATGCTACCAATATCACAAATCTGCCTAAGGACACTCTCACATGCTCTGAGCCCCACTCTCTCCTCAGGCCTCTCACCCTAGAGCTTGCTAAATAGTAGGAGACATGCAAATAGAGCCCTCCCTCTGCTGATGAAAACCAGCCCAGCTCTGACCCTGCAGCTCTGGGAGAGGAGCCCCAGACCTGGGATTTTCAGGTGTTTTCATTTGGTGATCAGGACGGAACATAGAGGACGCACCATGGAGTTTGGGCCGAGCTGGGTTTTTCTTGTTGCTATTTTAAAAGGTGATTCACTGAGAACTATTGAAATTGAGTGTGAGTGGATAAGAGTGAGAGAAACAGTGGATTCATGTAGAAGTTTCTGACTGGGGTTTCTTCTTGTTTGCAGGTGTCCAGTGTGAGGTGCAGCTGGTGGAGTCTGGGGGAGGCTTGGTCCAGCCTGGGGGGTCCCTGAGACTCTCCTGTGTAGCCTCTGGATTCACCTTCAGTGACCACTACATGGACTGGGTCCGCCAGGCTCCAGGGAAGGGGCTGGAGTGGGTCTCAAGTATTAGCACTGGTAGCGGTAGTACCACATTGTACCCAGACTCTGTCAAGGGCCGATTCACCATCTCCAGAGACAACGCCAAGAACACACTGTATCTGCAAATGAACAGCCTGAGAGCCGACGACACGGCTGTGTATTACTGTGCGAGACACACAGTGAGGGGAGGTGAGTGTGAGCCCAGACACAAACCTCCCTGCAGAAACGTTCAGGGGAAATCAGCTGCAGGGGGCACTCAGGACCCACTGATCAGAGTCAGCCCCAGAGGCAGGTGCTATAGAGGCTGATTTCCTGTCAGGATGTGGGACATCGTCTTCTCCTCACGGTTTCTCCAGTGAACCTCTCTAAGTTTAGAATTCTGTGCTTCCTAATGTCATCTCTACATATATATATAGATTTTTTTAAACATTGTAATCTTGTTTTAATGTGGTACTGACAAGATGATCCTAATTTTTTTTTTAATTTAAAAGTATTTTAATATGAGGACCTATTCTCACATGCACCAAATGCAGATTGACGTTTACTGAGATGAAAAGGCCTCAATTATGGCCACCAAGATCAGAGTCCTGAGGAAGCTCAGGGGTGCCTGGTGAGTCGTCTCCAATCAGCCCCAGTACAGAATCCTCAGGGAGATTCCTGGACTAGAACAGTCTAGGGATTCTGATCACAGCCAATAGAGAGGCTGGGCCAGGGTCAGTGTCATGTAGAAGCTCACAGGTTTCACGCCTGACCCTTCTCCTGACACTAAATCCAATCAGCATCAGCACTGACCTGGTGCTCCTGCGCTCCCAATCCATGTTCTTTCTTTGGAGTGTTTGTTCTCCCTTTTTTATTTGCTTTCCCTGCTTCCTGAAAAAGAAACAGATGACCTCCGTGGTCTACCTTCCAGGGCTCAAGGCATTTTCTTGGAGCTCAGGTGGGGCTCAGGCTGTGGCTCCTGCAGCCACATGGGAAAGTCTGATGGGACTTCCTTCCCTCCCCATCTGCTCAGGACCCTCCACTGTGTTGTGTGTAGACTCATCTGCGAATGCAGTTGGCCGATAATAGTGAAGGGGATAAACTTATTTTATCAAAATGGAATGAGGATGTGGAATTAACCCTGTTCAAACTGTCAGTCATCTGCTTCAGAAGTAGTGTTAGAAAGAGCTTGTGAAATTTATTAGAATCAAGATGGAGCCACTTGTGTTAAAACCCTAATGAACGAAGCTGGGGAAGGCCATGAAGGAGGGTTCTAACACACATGTTCCTGATAACAAGAACTATCATAGACTCTGCACCGCCACAACCTTGCACAAAAGCCATCACAACCTTAAAAGAATTACTTCTCCAAGTATATCTGCCCAGCAACTGCTTGTTCAACCTTACACTGATGTTACCCCTGTTATTGATCCTTCTAGCCCAGGATAATTGTCTCAAAACAGCTGATGTAACTCTCCTCATTTTTCCTTAATTCTTTATCTTCCTTTACCAACCTGAATGCACCCATACATATTTCCATTGCAATGCACATCCTAGAATAAATGTTATCACATTTTAAAATCTCTTTATGTCTGTTATTCAGGGTTGACAAGCTACAGGTGGACATGCCACATTTCTGTGAGACGTAGAGGATAACAGACTGTGGAGATGTCTAGGAATATCCAATGTCCATAAGATCATCTATAAATAAGTGCAGGCTGGAAGTCCCAGAGAGAGGTGAAGCTGCCGAATTACCATGGAATTTAATTGTATCCAGTTCTGCTCCGATGGAATCTGGTCCACTCATTTTATCATTGACAATCTACCTAACCTAGAGTCAACTGATGACAGTTTTAATAACATCTACTAAGTAAATTCAGAACCACATATATATATATATACATATATATATATATTTTTGAGATGGAGTCTCACTCTGTCACCCAGACTGGAGTTCAATTGCACGATCTCAGCTCATTGCAACGTCCACCTCCCAGGTTCAAGCAATTCTCTTGCCTCAGTCTCCAGAGTAGCTGGGACTACAGGCACATGCCACCACATCTGGCCAATTTTTGTATTTTTAGTGGAGACGGGGTTTCATCATATTGGTCAGGCTTGTCTCAAACTCCTGACCTCAGATGATCCACCCAACCCAGCCTTTTTTCTTTTCTTTTTTTATTTTTTTAAATTTATTATTATACTTTAAGTTCTAGGGTACATGTGCCTAACGTGCAGGTTTGTTACATATGTATACTTGTGCCATGTTGGCATGCTGCGCCCATCAACTCGTCAGCAACCATCAACTCGTCATTTACATCAGGTATAACTCCCAATGCAATCCCTCCCCCCTCCCCCCTCCCCATGATAGGCCCCGGTGTGTGATGTTCCCCTTCCCGAGTCCAAGTGATCTCATTGTTCAGTTCCCACCTACGAGTGAGAACATGCGGTGTTTGGTTTTCTGTTCTTGTGATAGTTTGCTAAGAATGATGGTTTCCAGCTGCATCCATGTCCCTACAAAGGACACAAACTCATCCTTTTTTCATGGCTGCATAGTATTCCATGGTGTATATGTGCCACATTTTCTTAATCCAGTCTGTCACTGATGGACATCTGGGTTGATTCCAAGTCTTTGCTATTGTGAATAGTGCCGCAATAAACATACGTGTGCATGTGTCTTTATAGCAGCATGATTTGTAATCCTTTGGGTATATACCCAGTAATGGGATGGCTGGGTCATATGGTACTTCCAGTTCTAGATCCTTGAGGAATCGCCATACTGTTTTCCATAATGGTTGAACTAGTTTACAATCCCACCAACAGTGTAAAAGTGTTCCTATTTCTCCATGTCCTCTCCAGCACCTGTTGTTTCCTGACTTTTGAATGATTGCCATTCTAACTGGTGTGAAATGGTATCTCATTGTGGTTTTGATTTGCATTTCTCTGATGGCCAGTGATGATGAGCATTTTTTCATATGTCTGTTGGCTGTATGAATGTCTTCTTTTGAGAAATGTCTGTTCATATCCTTTGCCCACTTTTTGATGGGGTTGTTTGTTTTTTTCTTGTAAATTTGTTTGAGTTCTTTGTAGGTTCTGGATATTACCCCTTTGTCAGATGAGTAGATTGCAAAAATTTTCTCCCATTCTGTAGGTTGCCTGTTCATTCTGATGGCAGTTTCTTTTGCTGTGCAGAAGCTCTTTAGTTTAATTAGATCCCATTTGTCAATTTTGGCTTTTGTTGCCGTTGCTTTTGGTGTTTTAGATATGAAGACCTTGCCCATGCCTATGTCTTGAATGGTATTACCTAGGTTTTCTTCTAGGGCTTTTATGGCATTAGGTCTAACATTTAAGTCTCTAATCCATCTTGGATTAATTTTTGTATAAGGAGTAAGGAAAGGATCCAGTTTCAGCTTTCTACTTATGGCTGGCCAATTTTCCCAGCACCATTTATTAAATAGGGAATCCTTTCCCTATTTCTTGTTTTTCCAAGGTTTGTCAAAGATCAGATGGCTGTAGATGTGTGGTATTATTTCTGAGGGCTCTGTTCTGTTCCATTGGTCTTTATCTCTGTTTTGGTACCAGTACCATGCTGGACACTTACACTCTCCCAAGACTAAACCAGGAAGAAGCTGAATTCCTGAATAGACCAATAGCAGGCTCTGAAATTGAGGCAATAATTAATAGCCTACCAACCAAAAAAAGTCCAGGACCAGATGGATTCACAGCTGAATTCTACCAGAGGTACAAGGAGGAGCTGGTACCATTCCTTCTGAAACTATTCCAATCAATAGAAAAAGAGGGAATCCTCCCTAACTCATTTATGAGGCCAACATCATCCTGATACCAAAGCCTGGCAGAGACACAACAAAAAAAGAGAATTTTAGACCAATATCCCTGATGAACATCGATGCAAAAATCCTCAATAAAATACTGGCAAACCGGATCCAGCAGCACATCAAAAAGCTTATCCACCATGATCAAGTGGGCTTCATCCCTGGGATGCAAGGCTGGTTTAACATACGCAAATCAATAAACGTAATCCAGCATATAAACAGAACCAAAGACAAAAACCACATCATTATCTCAATAGATGCAGAAAAGGCCTTTGACAAAATTCAACAGCCCTTCATGCTAAAAATGCTCAATAAATTCGGTATTGATGGAACATACCTCAAAATAATAAGAGCTATTTGTGACAAACCCACAGTCAATATCATACTGAATGGGCAAAAACTGGAAAAATTCCCTTTGAAAACTGGCACAAGACAGGGATGCCATCTCTACCACTCTTATTCAACATAGTGTTGGAAGTTCTGGCTAGGGCAATCAGGCAAGAGAAAGAAATAAAGGATATTCAGTTAGGAAAAGAAGAAGTCAAATTGTCCCTGTTTGCAGATGATATGATTGTATATTTAGAAAACCCCATCTTCTCAGCCCAAAATCTCCTTAAGCTGATAAGGAACTTCAGCAAAGTCTCAGGATACAAAATTAATGTGCAAAAATCACAAGCATTCTTATACACCAGTAACAGACAAACAGAAAGCCAAATCATGAACGAACTTCCATTCACAACTGCTTCAAAGAGAATGAAATACCTAGGAATCCAACTTACTAGGGATGTAAAGGACCTCTTCAAGGAGAACTACAAACCACTGCTCAGTGAAATAAAAGAGGACACAAACAAATGGAAGAACATACCATGCTCATGGATAGGAAGAATCAATATCGTGAAAATGGCCATACTGC